TGCCACTGACCTCTGCGTCTCTTAATGAAGGGCGACGTGCTTGTTTGTACCTTCTGCCCACTCTTACCTTTACGGAACTCGCTGCTTACCCGAAGCGATGTTATGCAGAACGTGTATTCCCCGTAGGCGGGCTGACAGTAAGCTTTGTGCGTGCTTTATCATCGTGTACGTGTACCACAAGTGTATTTATAGACAGGAGGAGGTTGAATTCATTCAGGGAAACTTCTGCTTTTCTCGTAGATGAAAAATGAGTTCTCCGTTTGCAGCAGGTTCCCAGCGTTAGGTAGCGGTATTGGCAGCCGCGGTAGATTGTTAATTCAAGGAAGCTCGACCAAGGATAAGTTTCATATGTAATGATTAGATGAGGGTCTTCACAGATACACTTCTGCATCAGATATCTGGCAGGTGTTTGGTGTTGCTAAGGAAAGCTGGTGTTTGATCTGCGTGACGGATGGCTCTGATGTCAAGGAGGGTAGTTTTCTGTTCTGAGATCTAACGGGTCGCTGCAGCAGGGTGGTTTTGGTTGCTGCTGATTTTTTGGGATCTCCCTCCTCTCATTTCCTCTGGTCTTCTAAGGATTTCTTGCACTGAGATATTGGTCCTTGCTTTTATGTTTTTTAAGTTTCTTAGAAGTTTGGCACTCACTTCCTGAAAACGAAATGAGAGAATCTCATTTTCTGCTTCAAAGGTGCCTTTAAGATCTCTGGATTGCTTTGTTTTCAGGGTGTTCTGTAAGCAATCAAAGGCATTTGAGCGTACAACAGACCCATCTCAATCTGATCTGCTTTCAAGTGTAACCATATTTGTACATGCTGATGCCTGTTTTATGTCTCCATTTCATTCTTTTTAAAGTCTGTGACCTTTTCTTTAGGATCCTAATAAGCAGTTTTCCCTGCTGGATACCTCAGTGGGAGTAGATAATTACTACACACAATCATGATTTGAACTAAACGGGCATACAGTCCCAGCTGGAATGCGTACGTCTTCCACATTTCACGCTCTTTCTGGTCTGGGTGTAAGCATCTGTAACTTTGCTGTGTTTGTGTGTTCCTTATGGCGTGTTTGGTGCAGGCATTGCTTGTAAACTGCGTTAGATTCCCCAACTGCAATATAATTACATCGAGTTTTCTGTTTTCTCTTCAAAGCAGCAATAAGATTCTTGGACTAATGCGGCAGCTTGCAAGAATGCACCTAATAAGATCTCATTTTTGCTCAGGCAGCAGATACCAAGCTCATGGGTAGCAAACACCTTTGTGCCAGAGCTGACGTTATTATCTGTGTCATTGCAGAATACGGCGTCTGTGAAAACTTGCGGAAATTGGAGATCACGGGAGTGTCCTGTCGAGATGTTTATGCCAAACGTAAGTGATAAAGCTGATACAGATCTGTATGTCCTTGCTTAGTACCAATTTTGAAAGCATATACGTGTTGAATATTTATTAAACTTTGACAGTATAAGTTACTCTTACTTTCTAATAGCAGGGGCTTCATCTGTGAAGTTGACATCTTTGGGGTTTTGTTTAATACCAAGCAGATGCCAAGAATCGAGATGTCTATGTTCCCCAGTCCTTTGGTGGGAAAAAAGCATGTATTTTAGATTTATAACAAAGTGTGGTGAGGGTTTTTCATCCTTTCCTGTTTTGCCATTTTTAGGTCTTGCTAAGGAATTAACTGATATTTTTCATAGCTGGAGGCTTTCTATGCCCTAACGTAGCTTAGTCTTGATCTCAGTGAAAGGATGCTGTTACATGCTGACAAGTGGGAAAGTGCTGTGGGTAAAGGGATGAGTGTTCCTCTGGGCTGCTCCTGAAGGAGGAGATCCTGGCAGGGCTGGTCCTCTGCTGAGGTGTCGGTGTGTTTTAGGAGGATTGATGGGAGTGGGACCCCAACTCAGCCCCAGCGTGCCTTCTGCAAGGTAGACACACGTCTCCTGTCTTACGGTGGGGAGGGGGCAAGGGGCATCATCAGAGGAGAGAAGCCAAGGTAGGCGAAGGACTGAATGGAGGCCTGATCCACGGTGAGGCTGTCTCCCCTGTCACCAAATCTTGCCCTTTGCAGTCAGAAGCTGAGCTGGTTGCTCAGCCTCGTGAAGCCCCTAAGAGCTCCCATACCAGCACTGCCAGGCTGTGTTGTCTTGGTTCCCCACCACAGATTTTGTAAGGGAATTACCTGTGGTTCATAGGATAAAGAACAAGATTTAACCTGCAGCACGTGGACCATGGCATCTGGCTGTTCAGATAAGGTCCTGCTTTATGAAACAAAAGCTGCAGTTGTCCCAAGTTACAGTCATGAGAGGTCTCTCTAGGCTTTGCAGAGCCAAAATCTGGCTCAGCTTCTGCATGTACTGTATTTGCTGAATCTTGAAGCAGTGATGACCTCAAGCACTGATCTTAATGCTGGAAAAAAGAACAGGTGAAAGAATTTTAATTCCATCTGTAAGAGACTTGCTGAGCATCCATGGGCAAATTATTTCATCACCTAGTGTCTCTCTTTACCTATTTGTGCACTAGGACTGGAACTGCCTAATTTTCCTGGGTGGGCGGGCTGAGTGATGGTGAGCCAGCACTTAGATGCCCATAGAGAAATCTCATTAGCACTCGAGGCCTCCCTTACTTCCCATTCAGTCCAGTATCTCTGTATGACACTGGTGTGGTAACAGCCATACAGCATATACCATATTGGATCTTAATTGTACATGACCAGTCTTAAATGGCAGAACATCTCTTCATGACCTGTAGTCTTTTTCACTATAATAGTTCTACGGTTCAGATTAAAGTGATGTTTAGTGCTTTTTTTATACACAAGGTGTATGTAAAAATGGCCTTACTGGCTCAGAGCAATGGTCTCTCTCTAGCCCAGTACTGTATCTCCCAGCTGTGGCTGCGAGCAGTCACCCAGGAAAGACCAGGAAGAGGGCAAACCTAAGTGACACTTCCCTAAGCACTCTCCCAGCTTCTGACTGTTTTCAGGTTGGGGGATTTCCAGAGTCTAGTGCGGTTTGTTGATTTAACAGCCCTCAATAGATCTGTCTTACACCTATGTTTTCAGTCTTCCTTTGCACCAAAGCAGGCTCCAAATCCGCAGCATCCATTGGCAAAGAGTCACACTTGACGTGTGAGAACCACCTCTGTGACAGACTTCATTGCATTTCGGAGTAAGGACCGTGTCCCTATCCATTCAGCAATCCTGACTAGCAATGGTTGCTCTAAAGTCAGAATGCTCGGCAGCTGTTTTCTGGCTCTCAGGCATGCACCATCTTAGCTCTCCTGCTCAGATTCACCAGTTTGCCCTGTGCAGATGCTTAGTGGAACAGTTTCCTCATTTTACCTGCTGTCTCATAAACTTCTTTAATTGCAGAAGGGTTAATTTGGGGCTGCTGGCAGGACTCACGTGCACTTTTCTGTCCACTGAATGTGCTTCAGTAAGAAGTAGTGTGGGAAGCGGGGAACTGAGCTTAAGTGCTTAGAAAGCATAACTAATCCAAGGCCTGGGCTACTTGGCCTAAGTGGTCTTCCTGAGACAGTGGTGCTACTTACAGCTGCCCTACAGAGTTTGAGGGGGACCCCGATTCCACTCGGAATTCGCTGGATGCCATTTGTAAATATTGTCTGTGGAAGTCTTGAATATGCCACGTTCTATGTGAGTAGTCCTGCTCACCGAGTATACCTGAGGCTGGGGCTGGTGGAAGCAAATGGTGCACCACAACTGGAAGTAAAGTCGAAGGAGAGTTTGACTTTCCTGCGTGGTTGGTCCAGATTCATCGTTCTGTTACGTGCTGGTTACGGTGGAGCAGAGTTTGCTGGTACTTACCCTGCTGTGTCTGTTCAGGTATAAACCCACGAGTGAAGTCGGGGCGTTTTATGAAAATCCTTCCCGACTACGAGCACATGGAGTACAGAGATGTTTACACCTGCCGTACGTACCTCCTGCTGGTTGATGCTTCCTGCACTAAGCACACACAAGATGCTGCATGGAGTGTGACGTTGCTTTAAGCAAATTATTTTGGGGTGGACCTTGGGACAGTACAGAGGGTGCTGGTTAGTCAGTTCTTTCTGTTGCGCTTTAGTGGAGCATTCTGACCCCTGAGAGTGACAACGTGAGCGGGGCAGGCAGTGAGGTATGTTGGTCTCCTTTGAAGTGCTTTGAGTTGTTAGAAAATTGTCCTGACTGGGAGAAAAAAGGCGGGGGGGGGCTGTGTCTCTGTTCACAGTAGGGAAGCACTTGCTGTGCTCTTCCTGGATTGCTCCTCTCTTAGAAGGAAGTATTCAGATACCCTGGTGAGGGCTTCCAAAAGCAAGTTTAAATAAGCTCTGGACTGGCAAGAAGCTTCGTCTTGATCCAGGTGAGCTGCATTCAGTTCCACAGCCCTTCCCAGTGAAAAATACCGAGGGTTCCCATACTAATTCCCTCCCTGCACAGTGAATCCTTTTAACCACAATCTCCCTCTCTAGGAAACATTACCTGGGTGTTTCAGAGATTGTGATTTGCCTTCCTCAGTCAAGAAGCTGCTCTGAGCAAACTGTTCTTTCCCTCCTGTTGTGTTGAGGGAAGAATAGTAAAACATTCAAGCTTAACGCTCACTGTTTTTAGTGGGGCGAGAAGTGCTGATTAGTTTACATCAATTAAGGAAGCCAGTACTGCCTGGTACTTGGAGGGGGTGTTGATCTGTCTCTAATGCTCCTTTGGGTCTGCATAGTTTTGTAGACTGAAGTTCCTAACTCACTGGTGCTTGGAAATATGGTTTTTCGCACACACTAACGAGCCGAGTGGATGCTGCAGACTTCTGTGTTCTAAAGAAAGCAGTCGAGCACGGGCCACGCAGAGAAGCTGGTGTCTTTAATGCGAGTCGTGACAGACAAGCAGCAGCGCTGCAGCTTTTTTTTGTAGAATGTTTTAGGTTGGGCAATCCTGCCTGTCAACACCAGCCTTGTTCTGGAGCTGGATGGGAAGGAGAAGCACATCCAAGCTGCCCCGCAGGATGAGGGATTCCTTTGTAGATTGCTACCTGGGCTTTTGCTCCAAACGTGCTGTTTGTGGTGGCTCTGAAATGGCATTTTGTGCTCTTCCCTCAGTTGTTAATCCTTTAAGCTGCAGCCCCAAACTTCTGATGTCTCATTCCCCTTTTCTCTAGCGGCATGTTGTATTACTTGGGCAGCAGCCAGTGTGGTTTAAGATGCTATTGCCCGTTTCTCCCCTTTCTCCCCTCCTCTGTATTAAGACCGCATTGCCAGGATTTACCGTGTGAGCGCTCCCAAATTCATATTCCTGCAGCGTTAGCCAGGTCAGCTCAGCTCACTTTCCCCAGGGTTTTAAGCTAGCTGGGCTGACACTCGGCTCTTCCACTAGCAGGTCAGTTATCACCAGCTGGAGGGCAGTAACTGCCTGCACTGTTCCAACTCGTTTTGCTTCTAAATACCTTGCTGCATCCTGAGAGTCCAAGAGAGTTGTAGTGGATCGACCGGGTCTTTTCCACTCAAAGTGAGCTACCTCTGCTTTAAAGGATGCAGATTTCACCGAAAGCTCCCATGTTAGCTTTTTGCATTTATCTGCCTGTGCCCTCCAAGCTGGACACAGGTAGTAAGATCTAGTTAAAAAAGTAACATCTGAAAGCATCTGCTGCTCTCCTGTTTTAATAACCCATTCTGGGGTTGTAACTTGTCTTGTTCATACTTATAATGTCTGTGGTATGCCAGCGATGCTTGCTTGTGTGCTCAGTGTCACTTCTCTGTCCTGTGTCTAACTCTTAATGAAGAGCACAGGCATTAGACCTTTCCCAGGCTGACTTTGGTTGATGGGAGCTTGGGCATTCGCTGCTTTTCCTAGTCCATTCCCAGCTGGATTTAAGCTGCTTTCCCATCTGCAGGGCTGCTTGTGGCAATGTGAGTAATATCCAGGCTGGGTGGGTGTATTTTTGCTCCATTTGGCAGGATGTGGACTCAGAAATCTGGGTAGGCAAGAGGCTTCTTCAGGATTGAGAAACACAGGCAGTGTGCATAGCAATGGAAAACCTTGGAGAAAGACCCAAGTGCTGTTTTCTTTCGAGGAGCGGGGAGGGAAACAACTGTCAGATCCATCCTGTCTCCTGCCAGGGAGAGCCAGAGCTGGAATTCATAGAATCATAGAATGTTTTGGGTTGGAAGGGACCCCTAGAGGTCATCTAGTCCAACCCCCCCGCAGGAGCAGGGACACCGCTAACTAGATCAGGCTGCTCAGAGCCCCATCCAACCTGGCTTGGTTTTCCCTGCAATAAATACAGTTGCTGGCTTGCTGGAGCCCAGAGACACCCCAGGCCTGAAAATGGAGCTGTGCTTTTGCTTTGAGATTCGTTTGGCCATTTTCCCCAGTAACTTCCTTTCCTGAAGGAACAGGAGGAGGAGGAGTCCACAGCACCCTGAGCAAGTGAAGAAGAGGACGTGACTGTTAAGGTGTCCTTACCATGGGCATTGCTGTGTAGGGAGGGGGAGGCTGGGTGAAGCACTGCTCACATCGCAGCCTGTTTCCCATCAGCTCATCTGGAGACTTCTGTGGTGCCAAACCGCTGGGTTTTTAAAAAAAAATGAAAAAAAAAAAAAAAGAGCTGCCCACAGTAGTGGTGCAAGCTAAGCACAGAAGCTGCTCTCCAGTGGGTAGGATTCTTCTGGAGGTGAATGGGGGGTTTTGGCCTCCTCCCTCCTTTGCAGCCCCAGGTTTCTGGGTGGTTGGGGAAGATGGAGAAGCAGCCACTTTTCCTGAACCACGTGGCTCCTGGCGAACCGAGCTGCAGCTGAAGCCAGCTGTTTATTGAAAGTGAGCACACAAACTGCCCTCAACAGGAATGTGTCTTGGAGTGGAAGGGCTTGCTTCGTTGAGCAGATGCTTTTGGCGCTGTTCAAAAGTCCATCGATTGTAGCTACACCTCTGACAATGCTTCCAGCAGGAGCTGGGGAAGGAGGGACATCCTCGGCACTCTTGGATAGCTTAGCGTCAAGTTTTCTGTCTTAAAATCCAGCTCTTTTTCTTATTTTTATCAGCTCCGTGCCAGCTGGGGTAGAAGGCAGATTGCAGTGGGTGGAGCAGCTTATGCACATACCATTTATTAATATGTAATTACTGCACTGAGATGAGAAGACTGGGAATGTGGTTTGCTTGCTTGCCTTAGTGCTGCTTGTGCTGCACCCGGTTCACTGGGTGAAACCAGGCCATCAATCTGAAATTGGTTACTGCACAGGAAAAAGGCTCCTCCAGGCCACTTGGCAGCAGCTCTGGACAACCCTCCCCACTATCTTAAACCTCTGTGGAAGTTCTCTGCTTTGGTGTAATAAAACCACTCCCATAGTTCTTGCTATCTGAAGTCGTTAATGAAACAAAGCTGTTGTAACAGCCGCCCTGAAACACAATTCTTCCTGTAAATCGATGCAAAGCAAACCCCATTATTCAAGCCAGTCCTGTGGCCTTCTGAGTTGGCCGTGAACATCATTGTAAGGCAAGTGTAGTATCTTCTTGCCATCTTAGAAGTAGTCTCCATCCTGTTCTTCCCCCCCAGAATGCCAAATGGTGTGTAACGTCTTCACGTGAAGGTAACTGGTCATGTCAGGAAATTGTGCGCACAGAATTCATGGCTGAACATGCAAGGACTGGAGGCAAGTAGCATCTCTAAGCTTTTCTCAAGAGAGGAGGTCTCTTAAGATCATTCTGTAACAGGCATTTTCTCCCGCTGGCTGAAAAGGTTCCTACTTCTCCTTCAATTTTAGTGGGATTGAAAGTGCACCCAGCTCTGAGATGAGAAATGGGGAAGCCTCGCCTGCTGCAGTAGGCTTTGAGAGGGACTTGGAAGCAGCTTTGGGGCACTGCTGAAATGTAGCCGCTTACTTAGAATTTTTAAGGCTGTTACTGCCCTGGTAACATCACCACATCTCCTGAGCTGGCATGGTCTGTGCGCTTTGCCCGTGCTCTCTCAGTGGCTGTTTTTAAGGACGCTTAGCTCCGGAGACAAACTTGCCTGTACAAGGTGGGGAAATTCTTTCAAGATATTAAAATTTCCCTACTCCTTACTGCTTTTGTGCCCTTCCTTATTTTCTGTTGCTTTGCAGTCTGAGGCATCAAGTACATTTTTGGTAACTGGAGATGGCAGAGATGTTACTTGTTTTTAGCTCTGGGTATATCATGTGATTTGCATTAACGGGACCATGTTGCAAAAGTTTTCTGAGAATTCCTGGTGAGGTGTCTGGTTGTGTAAAGTCCTGGAAACTAACTCCTGCCCCTGCACAGGGCCCGGAGCAGGGCTACAGAGAAAAACATAAATCTGTGTGAACTTGTGGGAGGTCTCAGTTCAGAACTGCCTGGCTGTGGTTGGGTGTAACCAGTTTTCCTTAGTAAAGGCAGTTGTGGGTGGTATCAGTCAGTGTTGTGCGCAGTCTGGTAGCAGTCTTCCTTTTCTTTTCTTTCCCCCAAATCCCAATTCCTTAGCTTTGATGTACTCACTTCATTGTCTCGCTGTTCCCTAGTGCTGCACCGATACCGACACATCCTGGGATTGTGGCAGCCAGACATCGGGCCCTATGGGGGACTGCTGAACGTGGTGGTGAGTACCTCATTCTGGGGGCTGTGGTGTCGAGGGCTGATGAGCCATTTGTATAATGCTTTCAAGACCTGGATGCCATCTCCGTGCTATGGAGAAGCTTTGAGAAGAACAACAGCCTGCCCTCGAGCAAGTGATTGGGACCCAGAGGTTGCTTCTTAGATCTTTTCATCACCACCTTTCTCCAGACAGTCCTTTTGTTGTTCATCTGTACTCCAAACAGCCACAGAAGCACACAGAAAACACGAGCAATGTTTCAGGGAAAGGCTTGATTTAGAGTTTAATGCTGATACTCCAGTGACTGGCACAGGAGTCCGTTCCTTGTACGTAGAGTATAGCAGAGGTTTTGGCAATGGCCCGTCGCTTACTGCTTTATCTTGGCCTGCAGCTGAACGTTTTGCAAAGGGGTTTGCACTGGAGTTCGCATCCTTCCTGTAGTTTGCAATACTTTTCACTAGCTGGGTCTAAGACTAATGCATCAGATGTAGGCATACTGGTGCATGGCTGCTGCAAGACCCGTGGAATCTGGCAGCTCTTGTGCTGCTGGGCAGAGCAGTTAATGAACAACGCTTGACTCTGCATTGGTGAGAGCTGGGCCAGAAGTTTGCCTGGAGCCTTTGTTCTTTGCACCAAGGTTCAATAGCTGACAGGTTGAAGCGTAACAAATCATGAGGCCTTTGGGTTTTGCAAGATTCTGTTCCATAAACTGGTATAAGAGTGCATCCAAGTGCACCGGTACTTCCATGATATTGTGACCTTATAAAGACAAGTGTGCCTCTGTGGCGCTGCTCTGCTTTTATCTCAGATCTCTCTGTTTAGAAAATAGCTTTTCTCTGGAATTGCAGGGCTTGAGGGGAAGGATTGTTAGGCGTGCAGGAATCAGGCTGGCACTTGCACCTCTCAGCAGAGGAGATTGTTGCTTCCTGTGCTGCCTGTGAGTAAGAGAGCCAAATAATTCCATGTCCAAAAGGCACGGATAATCAGGAGAAGCAGAATTCGTCTATTCGACTATCTGCCAGCATGAGCTCTCAAACCAATTAGAGTTTGACTGGCTGTGTGGTCTCTTCAGTGCAGTCTGTCCCCCTGGATCCTGCGCACCAAGCATCCGTCACAAAGTCGTTTGCGGTAATAAAGGCCTGATCATTTTCCAGTGGTGCAGAAAGCCTTGTAAAGAAACCCTCTCCCTCTTCACCAAGGGTGTGCTGTGAGTGCATATGGTCTGGTTTAATTGCTGGAAAGTGGTTTGGAAATGCAGCAAGCTGTTCTACAGCTCCTGCCCTGTTGCAGAATAGGCCCCGGAGTTGTTTGCTGCAGACTCAACAGAAAGCACGCAAGGCTGATCTTGCATGCTTTGTCTCCCATCTCTCTGCAGGTAGACGGTTTGTTCATCATCGGGTGGATGTACTTGCCACCTCATGACCCTCATGTTGATGATCCCATGAGATTCAAACCTCTCTTCAGGATTCATCTCATGGAGAGGAAATGTGCCACAGTTGAGTGTATGTATGGTCATAAGGGACCTCATAACGGCCATATCCAGGTGAGCTCCTCTAGCACTTCCAACATCTGTCCTAGGCGCAATGTGTGTGTGTGCATGCATGCACATTAGCTCTGGAAATGGATTCAGCAAAAAACTGTATGAGGATTTTATTTAAGGGATGTGGCTTTCACCACCTTGTTGTATGTGTGGATGCCAGCTTTACGCTCATTATGTGTCTGACAAGTTGTGTGGGCTGTTCCCTGCTCTGAATTTCTTCCCTGGCAATAGTACAGCAAGGCTGTTACACTGTCTTCTGTTGGGCTGGAACAGGGTGGGAGGGTGGGAGCACCAGCATGTGTACAGGCTGCAGAAATGATACGCAGAACGGCCTTGTGCGACCGCTGAATGTGTCCAAGCAGACACACAGACCTGTTCTGTCTTACAGGTCTCTCTAAGATGAGGCCTTGAGAAGGTGATGTAGCATCCATTCAGGACATGGGATGCTTTGAAAAGCTTCCTGGGAAGTTGTTTCCTTTTCTTTGGAGGTGGAAGCTCAAATAGAGAAGCAACTTAAAACAAGTCTCTTTCATGAGAATGTAGTACATTTTTATTGCTTTTATTTCTTTGTTCTGTAGCGGATGCACTCGGTATCACTTCATGATTTCTCTGTGGTAGCAAATTCAGTAACGCTTGTTGTGTAAAATGTTTAATCTAAGCAGTCATCGTTACATCATCTTAGGCATCTCTAATCAGGTCTGTAACCTGTTAAATTCTCCTCCATGGTAACTACAGATTGTAAAGAAGGATGAGTTCTCCACGAAATGCAACCAGACAGATCACCATCGGATGTCAGGTGGAAGGCAAGAGGTAAGAGTGCTTTGCCAGGAGTCTGCGTTAAGGCTGCTTGTATGTCCCCTTTCTGAAGACAACGCACTGCTGTTTTACCTGAGCTCTTGGCTAATGTTGGGGTCCAGGAGGTGGTCATCTGCCTTCTAATTTCTGTATATCTGAACATATGTGAAAACTCAGGCTGGTAGCTTCTGGCTGATGTACTACGATCTTTTTTTAAGTGAGTAGAATTGAACTGTGACTTGAATCAAAACTTAAGTGGCCACATTTGATTAATTGCAGGACCTTGGGGAGCCTCTTCTGTACTTGCCAAGGTGTGTTTTAAGGATCCAGCATGTGGATATCCAGTGTACACCTGCAGAATGTCTGGGTGGAGACCCTGTGCCTTACCTTGGTGTGTAGCAGGGTGTTGGAGCAAGCTGTTAATGCCCATCCTGTTGAGCAAAAAGCTGGTTTAGGCAGCTCTGTGTGGTAGGGTGCTCTTTGAGCCCCAGCACCCTTTTTCTTCCTGTGCTGTGACACCATTCCTGTTTCATAGCCAGCCTGTCCAAAGAAAGACACCAACCTGCATTGTACTCCATGCAGGACTTGCCAGACACTGTTCTCTGTAGTAGTGCCGTCTGTTTAATTAAGATCTTTCAGACACAGGCTTAATATTGAGTACCAGCTCCATTTGAATACCTGTTTGCCAGTGGGGCACCTTTCTACTGCTTGTCGTCCTGCTTGAGGGATTAAAAGCTTCATTTGGTTGTTTATCCTGTGTCTGTGTCAGCTATACCAAGCGAGGCAGATTCCCGACTCAAACTACGTGTTTTAAGGTGCAGGTATAAATGTCAGGATGAAAACCTACAGCTAATACCTGTTCCAGGTAGTGGTGTTTGCTGCCAGCTAGTTAAACGTGACAAATCTGATACTTCAGTCGCTTCCAACAAATGCTTTAAAATCTTGGTCTGCTAATGGGAAACAGCTGGGTGAAAGGTTTAGTTAAGTGTTTTCTGGTTCTGTAGCAGATGAGAAATGCTTTAATAATTTCAAAGCACTGCATTAAGTGTGCGTGGCATTATGGTAATTGGAGGATCTGGCTTTAGAAGATAAAGAAAGCAGGTTTGGAATATCACTTGGTAGGCTGCAATCTTAGTGTAAGCTGTTATCATGCTAACTCATGATAGGGTATTAACTTGTCAGAGCTGGGGTGGAGGTACTTCAGGAGATGTTTTCAAAGCACCCTTTGGATTTAGATGCATCAGTATTAAATTGGCAGGATTTAACCTCCTAAATCTTCAGTGCCTTTCAAAAGCTTCCCCTTTTATGTTTAACATGCCAGGATAGGGCCCAGGAGTCAGCTTATGGGCGCACGAATGAGTTACTGCAAGGTAAGTCAGGATGTAAAGGAGTAGTAGGTCAGCTACTTTGCAGTAACAGGTGATGCTTATGCTTTTATTCTGAGGAGGCATATGGGTTCTACCTGTGATTTATTTGAAGGGAAGCACGTTTATTGCATGGAGTCTGGCAAGTATAGGGTAGTTACCATTGTCACTACTTGTTAAGTAGATTTCCAAGCCAGCTCTGTAGCAACATGTGCTTGTTCCCAAATCCAGCCACGATCCTCTTGTCTTTGGCAGAGCGTACACCCTCTCTGTGGCTCTACCAGTGCATTGTGCTGACGAGGTGAAGTCATGTTGGGGGACATCACTGTCACAAATGAAATGCCTTTATCTTCCCCCTTTTCTCTTCTTGTGCCGCAGGAATTCCGGACGTGGCTAAGGGAAGAATGGGGTCGGACTCTGGAAGACATCTTCCATGAACACATGCAAGAGCTCATTTTGATGAAGTTCATCTACACCAGCCAATATGAGTAAGGGCACCAGCTCTTTGGGTATGGAGGCTGCTGCAACTTCAAGAGCACCTTGGATCATTTGTTCCAAAGATGGGGTGCTTGCAATGGGCTTCACCAGCCCAAGGAACGTTGTGTCTCTGCAGGCTCTGTGCAAAGGCATGGTGAAGCACAGTGCCTTCCAGTTGCACAGAGAGATGAGATGTAATGACAACAGTAATAATAAGGTTTCGAGTTCTTTGCAGTAACTGCGCACAGTAAGATGGTTTTGAGTCATTTAACTGTGTTTAATTTGAAGACGGAGCAAATACCCGTGATCCCAAGGAGCTATCTGCTTATTATCCGTATTAGTAAGCAATATGCTTTGTAGTGCGCTAGGCAGAAATCAGACAGTCCCTGAGAACTTGGGGTTTTTACTAACCGTCACTCCAAACTTCTAATAGCAGCCACCTCGCTGTAGCAGATGTTTAAATATGCTTCACTCTTACGTTCTCCGGAAATCCCAGGGAGTTAGGAGGTTCACTGTCACCTTGCTGCAGAAGCCTCCTGCTGTGCTAACAAGGACTGGTAGAGAGACGCGAAGGGGGTGCTTGCATGGGTCTAAAGCAAAATGTTAAGCTTGTTGGTATTGCTGAAAACACAGATCCTACATCTCTCTTGACTACATCCCAAAGCTGCCTGGAGGAGCAGACTGCAAACACATGCTTTGTGTCTCGAGGGATTCTCTCTTAACCTCTCTAACCTTTTGTTTTTTGCACAGCAACTGCTTGACGTACCGACGCATCTACCTCCCTCCTAGCAGCCCTGACGACCTTATAAAACCAGGTCTTTTCAAGGGAACGTATGGGAGCCATGGGCTGGAGATTGTCATGTTGAGCTTTCACGGAAAGAAAGCAAAGGGGACTAAAATCACTGTGAGTGCATTTTTCTTTCTCTCAGGTGCTTGTTAAAGTATTCTCTTCTTGATGCTGTGGGTCTCTGTCTGGGAGGTAGTCACTTGTTGCCACCCCAAACCCTGTTCCTCGTGGGGATTGGTGGCATTGGGTAAATCTTAACACATGGAGAGTAGCTAGAACCTGCTCTGCAAAGTTTCTCCTGATGCCATCTGGCTCCCCCTTCCTTTTCTCCCCCTTCCAGCTGCTTTCTGTGAGCAGCTGGTAGCAGGTCACTGGAGATCACTCACATGTATCTGAGGAGCAGGTACCAAATGTTGGCAGCTCTTCACTGAAGCCAGGCTAGCGAGCTCCTTCCTCTCCGCAGGGAGGGATTCTGACAAAACACAGTTGCAGCTTTGACTTTCTTTCACCCTTGCAAGTACAGCCTGGCTCGTAGCTTTTGAGTTAAAAATCTGTTTTGGGGAGGAAGAAAGCAGAGGTGATGTAGACAGCTCAAGGAAGAAGTTTTGTTGCCAACTTGGTGATTGTAGAATAGGGTGAACTATGTAGAATTCAGATGGTGGATGTGGGGAGGATACGGGCCTGAACTCTGTAGCACCTTGCCTCTGCAGCCATGCTGTTGCTTCCTGTCTCTAGGGAGATCCCAACATCCCAGCTGGGCAGCAGACTGTGGAGATCGACCTGGCACATCCTCTGCAGCTACCTGACATCGAGAACCTTCGCGATTTCAGTGAGCTCTCTCGCATTGTCCTGGAGGTCCAGGAGCAGGTACGTCGGGAGGAGCAGGAGCGGGAGCACCGGCAGGAGGAAGAGGATCATTCCCAGCAGGCTGCCTCCCACCTTGCTGCGAAGCCCTTGGGAGCAGAAGATGCTGAGGGGGAAGAGACTGCAGCTGGGGCGGAGGGGGCGACCCAGGACAAGGCACCAGCTTCCCAGCCCTTTGTGCTGCCCATGGGAGTCATATCGAGGAATGAAGACTACCCCCGGACCTGCCGAATTTGGTAACGGGGACTAGCAGTTTGATAGCCTAGTTGTGCCAGTCGCTTTTTGAAACAGAAGATGGGGGGAGTCTTTGAGGCGTGTTCTGTATTGCTTGCACTTTACCTGCATGCTGATTTCCCAGCCCCTTGTGCTCAGATTTTCTGCCACTGCTGCCCTATCTCCCCTGCTCTTGTTTGCTCCCTCTCTTTCTTACCACACTGTCATCTGCCATCCTGCTTCCTTGCTAGATTTTATCCTGTTAATTCTAAAGCTAGCACCATTCCCACATTCCAGTCCCCCCCCGCCCCCCTTTTTTTTCCTGTTCTGTTTCCCAGAGCTGCCCAGCTAGTACATTTGGAGATCTGTTCAAACCACTTCCCATTTCTGTGTCATCTGTGTTCCTTGGCTGTTGGGAACATGGTGCTCTCTCCCACCCCTCCCTGGCCTCTGGTGCCTTGGGGCCAGCTCTGGAAGGTGCTGGGCAGTAGGTACAAGTATGCAGAGAGCCTTGTTGAACAGGACCTGGAGTCTGTGAAGCAGCATACTAAATAAAGTGTGGAAAAAGAGCCCAAAAGCTGAAGCTTAGGCAGGTGACCTTCAGCCAAACATCTGTGCTCATGGAAAAACCTACCAATAGCTGGTTAATCCCAGAAGGCCCCTGCTGTCAAACTGAGTTGTGTTTGAATAAACCCCAGCTCCACCTGCTGCTTGCTTGGAGGTTAGGCTGACCTTTACTCCTCCCCAGCTCCACTTTGATTCTTCTTTTTGAGATTTTTCTTTCTCTCCCTTCCCCTGGGTTTTGTTGCAAGGTTTGCCTCTCTGGTCACCCTCTCAACATGCTTTTCCTTCTCTGTGAGGATTGTCTGGACCTGGGTTGATCCTGGAGTTGCAGAAGTAAATCTCAGGTGGATTACTGGGCCGAACTACAGAAAAATTCAGCCTTGGTGTGCAGGTGCTAATTAGAATAGCCAAAAGCAGCAACCTCCAAATAGAGAGTTTCTTTTCTTAAAATAGTAACGGCAGTGGTTTGTGCTGTGTGGTAAGAACTGAGTGAGTGTAAAACTCCCTGATCTGTAGCACCTGGCAGCGTGTTTGACAATAGCTTGATCGTAGTTTTGCGTTCATTTTTGGTGTGGGGTTTTTTTTATGGAATGTTGGGTAATTATGGCTGTTCTCCCATCTTTATTTGCTATTCTTCTCTCCTTGCAGTTTTTATGGGACGGGGCTTATTGCTGGCCACGGCTTCACCAGCCCTGAGCGAACGCCAGGTGTTTTTGTGCTCTTTGATGATGATCGCTTTGGATTCATCTGGTTGGATCTGAAGTCCTTCAGTCTCTACAGCCGGATCAAGGTCTCCTTCCAGAACGCTGAAGCGCCTTCCCGTGAGGCTTTTGATGAAATGCTGAAGAACATTCAGTCGCTGGCAACTTGACGGGTGATTGGTGATGGACAGGGCTAGGGGTTGCAAAGGCTGCTGCACTCCCCAGCCAGGGCTGGGGATGCCTTGCTCTTGGTACCTCTGAGTAAAAGCATGCACTTTTATTAAAGCCTTTTTACCCCAAATGTACACATCCCCGTTAAAATATCCATGACTGCCCTTTCCTCCCTGCCACCCCACACTGCTCCCTAGCAGTCCTTGTTACCCAGTCTGTAACATAGCTTTGTATAGCTGAAGGGATCCTGCAGAGGGGGAAATAGGCCTTTCTTATTGCAAAAAGAACGGATCGGAACAAAAATAGCTCAAGGTCAGAGCTGGATCAGAAGAACATCTAATTGACTGGGTGGACATGAGCCCTCTGCTCTGGCCATTAGCAGTCTCCAGCGGAAAGCGCTCTTCTTCAGGGAAGAGACTCATTTAAGCCTTTGCTGCGCTCTAGGCCGATCTGTCCTCCTGGGAGACTTGCTTTGCCCTCCTGAAAACCTGCGCGGTCCCCCGCTGCAGACTGGCTGGCTGCTTAATGATAAATTGCGTCAGCAGTGATGAAGCACGTCCTCCTCTCCAGAAACCTTTCTCTGGGTGCGGCACCGTCAAGAGAGGCTGGTGTAATACCTGCATCCTTGGCTAAGTAACTGGAGTGGGTGGTTTCCTTTTGAGAAATTCCCTCAGCTCGGCAGCAAGAGGAGGATTCCCACTGTAAATGACAGCGTGTGTAGTGTTGCCCTGGCTTCTGGAGCTTAGTGGATGCGCTGTCCCCGCGGCTCCAGGTCCGGGTGTCTCCCTGAGCGTAGAGGAGATGATTATAGGAGCTGGGTACAGAACTGGAAATGAGTAAATCGCAGAAGCTGGTGTGTTCAGAACTGGTTTTGTATCTGAAAGGTTGGCCTCAGATCTTTTAAACTGAACCTGAAAACATAAGGGAAGGAGAAAAAACAAAACTAATTGTGAAATAAACCCAAATGCAGCCTACTGACTCCTGTCTGTGGTGGGCAGCGGAAGGTGCCGTGTGTTGCTGGCACTGATGTGACCCCAGTTATGTGTTGTTCTTGTATCGGGTTGCCCTACGCAGTCTGAAGGAGCAACGAGGGATTCTCCAAATATTGCTGTGGCTTGTTCTGGCACCTTTTACGGTTGATGGGTGCTGCTGCTCCACGTGCAGGACCCTTCTGTTCCCTTTCTAGTCGCACTTGTTTCATCCCAGATGATTGCTGCTTCCCACAGAAAGCTCCTGGGCTCAATTTCTTTCCATGATACCTGTGTTCTGACAGATCTGAGCTCCACTGGGAAGTGTGGGCTGCAGGCGAGGAAGCAGATTCCCCATAGACTGTCCTGTGCAGGCAAATCCTGGCCAGTGCTAACCTACAGACTGAGAGTTGTGCTATAAACCATCAGCATTTGCATCAGCACGTGTTATTAATCCTGTGTAGGTAGAGATGATGGGGACCCTTGTGCAAAGAGAAGACATTTGTAAGGAAGCTCTTGGTTACAGGCAAAACACATGGTTTGTTGCTCTCCGGCTGTGATGGTAAACTCCAGGTTTCTTCTTTTCCCGCTACCAAACCGGATCAGGGTTTAACAAAACTCTGCCTTTACATCTTCAGGTTTTGGTTTGTAAATGTGCCTGTAGGTGTGTTGTGCTGGGAGGATTGAGGCCCCTTCTGTGGAGGAGTTTCAGTCACTGCCTAGTTTCACTGACTGCGAGCAGCTTTTATTCTCGCTCTCACAAGGGCTTTTTGCCATTTCTGGCTCCTGAGCGTTCCCTCAAGCTGCGTGAGAACCGAGTCTCCAGCAGAGACTTTGAGCAGAAGGTCACGTCACTCACAGGATTAATTCCTGCCTCTTCGGATATAGTTCTACAAACCTCTGAGAATTTGAAGGTGATTTGGGGCACTTTTTTCTTTGTTCCCTACCGCTTTGTCAGTAGTAGAAAACCTGCCGCAGTGTTAGAGGTGAGGATCTGAAGTGTTATTATCATTCGAGTGAATAAGCTACAAAAAGTAGGTTGTTTCTGGGCAGCCTGTTAGAGGTGTTCCTGTCGGCATCAGCAGAGGGAAGAGGTGACCTGGATCTCGCCCCATCACGCAGGGCCGGGAGAGGGGACGGGTGGCAATTCTCTGAGCCCTGGTGTGTGGGCAGAGAGGCGAGAGGTGAAGCTAAAATTGGGCACCTCGGCCTTTTGCTGCAGCTGCCGGGCTGTGTGCGGAAGGAGAGCACGTGCTTCATCTTGCAGACAGAGACTTCCAGCTTGATGATGCAGATTTCTGAGATACTTCAGGACATGAGGAGTCTGTTGGGCATCTGGGTGGCCAGTTTATCTTGGAACTTGCTGTTGGCTGCTTTGTATTCTCCCGAACAGCCTAAAGGGATGAGAGAGGTCCCCTTGGGCGGCTGTTTCAATCGCTTGTCCTTACAACCAGCTCTGCTTCAGGTGCAAATGGATCCGTAGTTCTGACTGTGGATTCCTCCTCCTTTCAGTGTCCTCACTCACCCCTCCAAAAAATAAAAATCCTGAAGTTTTACATAACTGACTTAATAGTTTTTGCTTTTTGTTTTTTAAGTAAGATTGAAAATCCAGACTGTATTGAATGCACTACAAGCACTTGGCCTGAGACCCAAGGCACTGTCCCCTAAGTACGGACGCTGACTCTGTAGCCGGTCTCCTCCCTGTAACCTGCTGTGTTGGCTTGGCTGAGCATGTAAAGGCGGTGTAGGTACGATACAGTGCTTTTAGTAGCTGTTCCCTGTCGCTTAAATTCCCCTGGGTGTCGTGAGTCTGCTGGGGAGTGCAAACCCGTGGATAGCAGGTGGCAGGAGCGTTTGGCTCGGCGCTGAATACAGGTCTGCTTTGTCACTTGGGCAAGGACCTGTTGGTTGGGCTGTTGGCACAGGTCATGCATCTGCTGTTTTCCAGGCTAAGACGATGGTTCTGCTCGTAGCTTGTCCCTTCTGAACCTTTTCAGTGGCAGTGTTAAGAGCTTGGCTGGCTGGAGAGAGGGGCTTTGCAGAGGCTTGATGCCCTGCAGGAACTTTTCACAGCTCAGCTTTGCCCCTGTAGTAGCATCTTTTTATTTATAGCCTACCTGATCGGCCTCAAAATGTCAGAGCATGCTAGTCCCGATGAAAGGCAACGCTGCTGATACACCGTGGCTTTATTCTGTCTAGAGCAAAGGCAATGAAAATAGCAAATTTTGTATTAATACTGCTCCTCTGCCTTCTCTTCTCACCTTCTGCTCCTCAAAGCCTGGCAGGCTTTTGCGGCATTTCAGAAGAAAATTCCCTCTGATTTGGCTTCGGGTGGGGAAAGCTGTCAAGACGGCGAATTTGGAGAGACTGGCATAAATGCTCTGGGCGTTCCTCTGCTGGTTCCCTTGTGCATGGCTACATCAGTGCTTTCGGTGGAAAAACAGAATAACAGGATGAGGAGTTACGGCTCGCGGCTCTGAAAGCTTTGGGAGTGGGGAGCAAACAAAGAGGAGTGCAGCCAGATTTAATGACAGGCAATTGGGATCTGAGCATCGCCTGTGGCCGGGGGGGATGCGGCCGCAGCCCCGGTCCCGCCTTCCCTGGCGGTCCCTATGGGAAGCAGCACTAACGCTACGGTGTTTTGCTGTACTTGTTCATGTTTGGGGGGGGGCTGTACCGCCCCCCTGCGCAGTACGTCTCAGTGCATACCCTGCTCGTTGCCTCAACCCTAGTTGTCCAGCTTGTTGGGATATTTCTGTGAGCTGTTGACAGGGATAATGTGTGGCGGTGCCTTGCAGATGGTGATAAATTTCTGGTGCTGACGTGTCCTCGTCCTGTTCGCTCTATAGAAAATCTTGGGGACAATTGGCTTTATTTCTTGATCCCAGATGGGTGGAAAGTGCTGGGGAAGATGGAAAACAACTCGTCAGGGGTAGGAATACTCTCTTGGCAGGAGCCTTGTGGAATAAACAAAGCGCTTGCAATTATGGTTGCAACAAATGGTTGCAGAGCAGCATTGCCCCAATAGCCACAGCAAGGCCTAGGGCTTAATCCGAGCTCAGGAGCCATAAGCAAGTGACTGGCTTACATGCTCGGGCTGTGTTGTGCTCCTAGATCACGCTTTCTGTGTTGTCAAAACACATGGGTTCGGCCAGCTGGAAAACAGAAGCATCAAAGATCCTCATCCAGCCAGTTTGTTTGCCTTGGGCCTGATTTCATAGCTATAAATGTGCTGTGATCAGGCGCTGCGGTTGTAGGAGACTCACTGCAGTCCACACGGACTTGTCAGGCTTTTTCTTTTTTTTGTTGAGGAGCAGGAAAAAGGATGGAATTACTTGTAACTTTGGCTGTCAGCTTCCCTCTGGAGCGAACAGTGCGGTACTGCTACGGCTACTCTGGAATGGGATGGCAATTACGTAGGAAACTTGTGCTGGGGAGAAAGCAAATTCATGTGCAAGCTTGCTTGGAGGTGTAAGCTACCAGGAAAAAAAAAAAAAACAAACCAAAATGCAGCTTGCTCAATGTTTACTTTTAAACAAGGATGACTTTTTATTGCTTTGTATTAATTTAAAACTAGTGGAACTTAATGGGAGTGTTGGGTGTCGTGTGGAAATGGGGCGTATAATCTCGACTTGCTAGTTTAGGAAATGGTAATATATTAACTCTGTCTCGTAGCTGGTTGCTCACGTGGCCAACGATCTTCTGTTGTGTTCAGCTGCCAAAGGATTGCCTGCTGGCCTTTGCGCTGCAGGCCAGGCGGACAGCGTAACTTCCCAGTTGGACAGTGAAATATTTGGGATGTGTGATCAGGCTTTGGCATGGAAGATAAGTTACAAACTGTGAGTGCCACTGACTTTTTTTTTTTTTCCTTGGTGTGTGTGTGTGTGCTCTAAATTAAAATGTATGATTCTGGTTTTTGTTTGGATTGCAGTCTCTTTAATTTTTGAGGAAAAGAGTACTCTGACTGTGTTCATTAGCTTAATTAAAGCAATCTGCACTTTTTTCATTGATTAATATTCCTACTTCCCCTAAGCAGGTGTACCCTGTTTCTGTGTGTATTTTGCACTCACCACTTTAACATGACACCGATGGATTAATCTGGGCATCTCCTGTAGGCTTTGAGTGTAAATAATTTAACTAAAAATGAAGGTGAAGCAGCAGATCCCTGCTTTGTACAGAGGGTAGCACAGAGGAAAAAGGTGAGCTCTTCTTTCTAAGATGCCATTTGGCATCAAACACTTCGGTTTCATGCCACGAACATCCATGTGGAGCGCGATAACTGTAATTCAAACAACTCTCCTGCCTGGTCTGCTCCCCGGTCGGAGGGAAGGGGGTTTGCCTGTCCTTTTGTTGGTGGGTTTGGGAGGAGCGGGCTGTATAAAAGCCAGGCATGACTTTGCAATGCTTGGCCTACTTTATCTCCGGTATCAGAAAGCCGAGCAAAACGCCTGTGTTACTTTTACACCTGATCGTTGTTACCCAAGGAGCTTTTTCCAGTTTCAAATAATAAAAAGGAAAGTTTTGTGAACTTACTTCTGTTTGCTTCTTTTTTTTTTTTTTCCTCTAAAGGAAAGCAGTGGGTGAGTCCCACCCTTCTGACGTGCAGCAGCCTGTCTTCCACCGCGCGATCAGAATTCATTTTCCCTTGTTTGGTGAGCAGTTAAACTGATTCCTGAAGATGTGAGGTACACACCCCCACACCTCATGCTGCGAAATCCCATCTCTTCACTAGTCCCCATTTTCTGTTCTTCCCCCTGCGTCTGCCATGCACAGCTCCTACCCTAGGGTGCCTGGGGTGCCCGGCTCCCTCCCGCAGCAGATGCTGGGGCCGGCAGAACTAACAGCCTGAGCCCTGGCAGTGTCTTTCTGCCCTCCCAGCCACAGCTTTCTCCTTCTGAAAGGAACCATGTGGTAATCCTGATTTTTTTTTTTTATTTTATTTTTTTTTTTATTCTTCCTTCCATTTAGTCTGAAAAAGATGAGCTGGCGCAAAAATAACATGAGGAGAGGGAGGCAGCATGATGGTGTAGTCCCCCTTCTTTACGGAATGAGGCTGAGACTCATCTGTATTTCTTACGCCTTTTTTCATGTTTCCCCCTCCCCACCTTCAAATTCGCACCCACCTCAGATCGGAACTGCTTTCGCTGCTTTTCCAAAAGAGTGATTTTACTGTGAAATGAGAGACTCTGGTGTGAGCTCAGCTGCCACCGAGGAGTCATTCGTGCAGGTCTTGCGTCTGGTCGTGTGCCAGGACGTACGGTGTCAGCGTACGGTCCCCGGCTCGCTGTGAGTGGCCCGAGTCCTGCTTTTGCTGGGGTGGATGTTGTGCTTCCAGATACACAACCCAATTCTGCCAGCGAGTTCCTTGGCAGGTTGTTATTTTTGAGAACAAACCTTGGCCATGGAGCGCTAAACTACCAAGGTTGCCGCGTGAACTTTTAATCTGGAAATGGCTCTGCTTTATTAATGCCAGTAGTTAACCGAGGCCGGAGTGCAGTTACAGCTCCTCGGGTGCAGTCCTCTGTGAATGTGTGGCCTCTTCCATTTCCCCCTTATTTTTTTTTCACCACCAGTGCCTTCCCTTAATCCAGTGTGTTAATTTGCTGCTGCTGAAGGCACACCTGACCCCACTCCTTTACGTGAAGAGTCGTGTATATGATCTACGGTCGTTCAAACCTTAGCAAGGGAAAATAAGACGACATCTAATAAGCATGCAATAACTCCCACCGTATCTTTGGCCTTCGAGAGGCACCAATGAGGTTTCTCAAGTGGCAGCGTTTCTGAACGCTGACTGCGTGCACCTCCCAAATGCTGGCTTGCAACCCTCCCTCTCCTTCCAAAGAAACAGCTCGGAGATGTGAAGGCTCGGTGCTGGGCAGTCTAACGCCTCCTGGAGAGCAGTGGGGCAGCGCAGGGCTGAGCCCCGCTTGCCTCCTTTGCCGCAGCCCCTGGCCCAGGAGGGAGGAGGTATCTGTGACCTGGCCGAGATGTTCCTCCTCCCAGCTTGGTGATGGATGAACTGCTTTTTCTGTCTGCTAGGGGTAAGATCCCGAGTGTCACGGCAAGTTATGGGCTGTGAAGTGTGGAACAGACAGGGGGCTGTCCC